AAAAAAAAAAAAAAAAAAAAAAATTAAAAGGAGCTGGGGTTATAACAGTGTGAAGGCCCTGGGTGCAATACTTAGTATTGAAAAAACAGAGAACAAACAAAACCATTCATAGGATGAACACAGGAATAGGACATGTTGAAAAAGACTTAGAAGAATTGATCCAAAAGAGTGAAGAAAAAAGAAAGAGAAAGAAAAAAACAAAGAAGGAAAGAAAAAAGAAAGACAGATCATAGTGATGAGAGGAAAGAGAAAGGAAATTCCAGGTAAAAGAAAGTGGTAATTTCTATCAAATGCTGCTGAGAGATCAGATGAGCCCTGAAAACTGCTCCATTTGGATGTTGCCCAAAGTGTCTGATGATGTGGGCATTAGAGTGAAGAAAGAAGCCAAATTGCAATGAATTTAGGAGAATGAATTTAAGAAATGAATTCCTATGACATTATGCTTTTGAAACACTCATGAAACAGGAAGGCTAAAAGCCTTAGGTGATACCAAATAGAAGAAAACGAGTCAGTGTGTGTCTGCTCCATGCTTCCTGTGCAAATCCCTTTGGTAACTTGGACTAACTCAACTCAGGATATTTGCAAGGGGCTAATCTCAAGCTGAATTCACAAAGCAAATCATAGAGCGCCTTCTTGGGGCTGGCGATTCTGGTGTCCCTCTAATCCAGAGAAAAGAACAAGAATAAGTCAGCTAAAGCCCATGGGCCATGTCTGGCCCACTGCCTGTTTTTGTATGGGCTGTGAATGGAGATTTTTTTTTTTTTTTTTTTGCATTTTTTTCACTGTTTGAAAGACATTTAAATGAGGATGCGATGTAAAAACTACATGACAGTCAAGTTTCAGGGTCAACAAATCAATTGTTATGGAATGCAGCACTCATTTGCTTATGTATGACTGCTTTCACACTATAAGAATTAAGTAACTATGATCATGACCTTAAAATATTTGCTGTCTCTTTTCAAAAAACATTTGTGGATTGCTATCCTAGAAGACTGGACCAGGTAGCCCTGGAGCTTTATGTTGTTCTTTACAGATATAAAAATAATTTAGTCATCAGAACTCAAAAAACATTATAAATTTGTATAACCTCCTAAAGTCAGTATAGGACAACCTTAGCATACATAACTAGATCCATATGAATGGTACCATAACTAGTTTTCATTTCTGACATGTAATGATCTGTGTACCATCTGTGATATATTGAGACACATGGGACACTCTGTGCCAAGCAATGGAGAGGCTAGCCTAGAGGGAGTGAAAGTCAAGATCTGAAGCAAGATTTGTGCCTTGGTGTAGAACAGGCCCAGCAGGGACACTAGAAGTTAAGTGGCAGAGAATAAATAAAATGACAGCAACAGTTTGTGGACCACTTATTAGATAGGAGGCATGGCAATTATTAAGATAAACAGGTCAATCAAGGATGGGAATACATAAAGTCACCACTAGAGCTGGGAGGCCATCAATTCCAGCTTTTCCATTCCAGGTGAATGAATGGCTAAAAAAGAGGGGCAAACACCAGGCTGTGGTGGCTCAGAGGAAGGCAGGGAGGAGGAAAATATTGTAACAAGGAAAGAAGACAGAGCTTGTGAGATTCAATAAAGTTCAAGGCATATTTAAGGAACAAGATGAAGCTCCTACCAGTTGAAATGGAAGGTGTATATAACTAATTTTTTAACTTAGAAATTTATTTTCAGTTTACTGTGAAAGCTCATCTAGCTATGTTCAGCAGGGAGTATTTTTAGGTTCAACTAAACATTAATTCGCACAGTCCTACTGTGGATCACATTCAAAGGCTAGACCAAAGGAAGCACAGATTGCCATCAGGGTGTGGGGAAGCATTCCCAGGATTCCTTGCAGCTATCCACTGAGCAATGCAGCTTAGGTTCAATCCAACAAGACATGCAACAGGCCAGCATGGGAGCTGCCTTGGATTACTGGCCTAATTTACCACAGGAGCTGAGATTTCTTGTTAACAACGTTACAATGTAGTTTCCAGGGTTTCCATGAGAGATTCGCTGATTATGAGTCACAGCAGGTTAGTCTAAGAATATTACTTTCTGATAAAGATTGACAGTTTTGTCACTCCAGATGTAGTTTACCAAGGAGGGCATTTTTGCCACATACACTGTTGCCTAGAAGCATCACTAACATGATATCCTTAACAAGTTGCATGTGGAACAGCTAGAAAATTAACCAAAGTCAAATTCTCATGAAGAAAGGGCAAGTTTTCTTAATCCTTTACCCAGTCCCCTCAACACCTGCTCTAATTTTATTTCAAATAACTCCTCTTAATTTTTCTAAGAATTTACACAAAATTGTGCACATATTGGGAGACATTTTGTTTATATCCAATTTTTCACTACCACAAACAAGCCATGAACATCCTTATGCACACATGGGAATATCTCAGAGCAGTGAAATTATTTAATTAGTAGATACATTTTAAATTGTTAATATTGAATGGCTATTAATCTCAATGCACACCAACCATGTATATATACTAATTTCTCTTCATTCTATATGACTGCATACTGGAAATCTTTAAATGTTACAATGAAAATAACTTATTATCTATTATTAATTCCTGATTACTAGTGAGTTGCTATCTTTTCAAATGATTTTTGACTATCATTTGTATTTTTTCCTTTACAAATAACTTGTCCATATTATCGGCTGATTTTTCTATTAAGTTTTTCAACTGATTTGTGGGATAGAAATATAGTTTACATACACACAAGAATACTTATATTTTATTATGTTATGTAAATTGAACCTAGCCACATTTTGATCAATACATGTTGGCTGAGTTTTGGGGCTTTGACTTCCTAGTATGTAACCTGGAGCAAAGCATTTAATCTCCTTGAACATCAGTTTTCTTATTTGTTAAATGGTGATAATAACATGTACTCACTGGATTTTTTTTTTTTTAGCTAACAATGGAGCACATAGTAAATGGTTAACAGCATTGTTTTTTAAACAGATATAATTCATATACTATGAAGTGTACAAGTAAGTTAAAAACTTTACTTTCATTAGTATTTGCCATATATAATGTATTCATTTTTTTTTTTTTTTGGTACCGGGGATTGAACTCGGGACCTTGTACTTTCGAGGTGCCATATATAATGATCACATTCATCCTAGGGAATTTGTACCTGTACATAATTATGTCTTTTTTTCCTGTTTCCCTCCCCTCCCTTCAACCCTTCTTCCCCTCCCCACTTACAAAAGCTTTGTTTTCATTTTTTCCCTTCCATTCTTTTTCTTTAAATCCCTTTCCCCTCCCCACCAAGCCAATTTTTAGAATATTCACAAGGTTGAGTATAAACCACTAGCACCTATCTAATTCAAGACAGCGTCCCTCCTCCTGCCTCAGTCTCTTGAGTAGCTGAGATTACAGGTGTGCACCACCATTTTCAGCTTGATGACACATTTTGAATCCTTGTATACATGCATAACATAAAGGTAAACCTGCCTACATGGACTTTATGAGCAGAGGGATGATCTCCCATGTTAAGGTTTCTCAAGTAGAATGAGACTTTTTCCCTCATTAGTCTTTCTGGTCTATCCCCAGACTCTCTCCTATATTGTGCAAAGTTTTATCCTCATGGGCCTGGTAGGCTAAAAGATAAAACTGAATGATATGACTGCCACAATTGTAAGTGGCACCTTCAAGCTCCAGAAGGCCCTAGCAGAAATTTCAGACCACAGACACCTTTGTAAAACCTCCAGAAAGCTTATAAATGCAACAACTTAAAAAGACATAAAGTAGGGGCTGGGGATTTAGCTCAGTGGTTTCGCCGCCAGCTGCGCAAGCACAAGGACCTGAGTTCGATCCCCGGTACCGAAAAAAAAAGAGACATAAAGCATTTTCTTAAGATGTAGTCATATAACACTATGGAGATGTGTAAATTGTATTGAGGGAGATCCAGAAAGTTTTAAAAGAGGAGCAAACACATCACAAGCCAGAAAACAGGTCCAAAAACTACCTTTATTAAATAATTACTACTGAGTGCATCATATACTATAGAGGTAGAATATGGGCAGATAAGACTCTGAAAAAATCAAATACATATGCTTAGAATCTTATTGTTAATTCTAACTACTACAGAAATAAAAAATTTGTACAGGTTATTTATAATGACATTTTGATGCTTACCACAAGGAAAATAAGCTATACTCATATACTCCAATAAAAATTTTTAAAAACCATGCTTAACATTATAGAATTTACCTAAAATGGATTGGTAAAAATGCTTACACAGAATCCATTCTTTTTTTTTTTTTGTCAGAATCCATTCTTATTACACATATATTTTCCATTAAAGATTGTTTGAATATTTTGACACTTGCTGAGAAATCCATAGTTGACAACTATATATATGCAGTTCCTCTAAGAAACATCAATAGTTACCTGTATTAAGTCCACTTCTCCATAAATGAAGTCCACCTTATTAGCACATACCAAGTTCTCTTTAGAGCTGTTTATATGTCTTTTGTCTGATCATCTTCTTCAAGTTTCCTGATTTCATTTTTCAAACAATTTATGGTTTCACGACTTGCTTTTAACCTCTCTTTAAGCTCTGCAATTTCAAAGCTTGTTTTTTTCTTGGCAGCTTCTAATTTTTCTCTGGTTTTCACTTCAAGTTCTGCAACTAAGAAAAAAAATATTTGTACTGAATTATTTTTCTTACACATCTAAGATGTGCCACTGAATAATACATATGGCATTTCGTTAGGTCAATGTTTCCATGATGAAATGTGACAACTTAAAATACATAACATTAAATGTGGATGGGTGGGAGAAGGTAAGAAAGTGAATTTCCCAGAGGATCTAGGCTGTTTTCTACAAACATGAATAAAATTTTGGTCACTAACTCACAGTTAAGGGATAACACATTACTTCTTTGCTTTTCTTTCTATATATTACTTTGGAAAGATAGGCTTTTTTTTTTTTTTTTTGGTACTGGGGATCGAACTCGGGTCCTTGCGTTTGCACAGCAGGCAGCAAAACCACTGAGCTAAATCCCCGGCCCTATATGTATTACTTTGAAATAAGTGGGCATACAAACCCAGGAGACATCAACTAACAAAAGAGCTAACTGAAAGTTTTTTGTTTTCTTTCCACGCTTGAGATCAAACCCAGGGCCGTGTGAAAGCTATACATGCACTCTAAGCTATATCCCCAGCCTCTTTTTTATTTTTATTTATTTTTTTGGGTACCGGGGATTGAACTCGGGACCTTGCGCTTATGAGGCAGGTTGATGGCACCACTGAGCTAAATCCCCGGCCCTGCCTCTTTTTTATTTTTGAGATAGGGTCTCACTAAATTGCCAGGCTGGCTTGAACCTGCAATCCTCCTGCCTCACCTTCCAATAGCTGAGATGGTGTATGTCATCATGCCTGGCTAAAAGTATTCTTCAACTGATGCACTTACATAATAAAGATGAAACTTACCTAACAAAGTCACACCATCAAAATAAGCTGGTATTTTTTTTTTAAAGATAACATAACCGTCTCAATTTAAATTCTAGCTCTTCCATTTATTAGTTGTGAACTCTTAAGTTATTTCCTCTCTCTATGCTCACTTCCTCACAGAACAGAAATTATAATGGCAAATATCTCGTATCACTTGTTGAAAAGATTCTTTTTTTTGGCACCAGGGATTGAACTCAGGACCTTGTGCTTGCGAGCCAGGCACGGTGCCACTGAGCTAAATCCCCGGCCCTGATGAAAAGATTTTTAAGTGAATGTATATAAGGTACTCAGAATACAATGTGGTACATAAAAAGCCCTAACAAGTATTATAATGAAAAAGAAATTAAATAATAAATGAAAAATTCTACCTGGATACATAACGTGTTGCTAAAGAAAATGTCCTTACTGCAACAATTTAAAAATCCCTTTTGATAGTGTAGCGTTGTTTTTTGAGAGTTGGATTCTTTTTTTTTTTTTTTTTGGTACCAGGGATTGGTGTAGCAATTTTTTTAAAAAAAATGTTTATTTGCACCCAACATCTCCGTCTTGTGGACACTTTTGGTAACTGCTGCTGATAACTCCTGAAGTACATACAATTATACTTAAGACAAACTTAAATTGGTCACTAATTGGAAGCAGGATGGTTCAGTGAAAAAAATCTCAACTTTGAAACAAAAGATGAGTTCAAACACACTCTTGGTTTCTTAATATGTGGACGTCTCAGTTCTCCTCCCCTCAGTTCTTCTTTTTCTTTTTTTTGAGACAGGGTCTTGTGCAGTTCAGGCTGATCTTAAACTCACTATGCAGCCCAGGAAGGCCTCAAACTCGTGGCAATCTTCCTGCCTCAGCCTCCTGAGTGCTGGATTTACAGGTGTGCACAACTATGTCTAGCTCAATTTCTTCTTCCTAACGATATGGCTAAAGCTACACATTTCTCAAAGAATTTATGAGGATTAAGTAGTTATATTTAAAGCATCAAGCATAGAAAAAATGTGCAATAAATATTAATGAGTACTGTCATGGCTTGTGTCTACATGTTCACCAAAGCCTCATGTAGTCATAGGTGGGGCTATTTCAGAGGTGGCTGGATCTAGAGTATGTGATGCTGGAATAGTTTTATAGTGCAAGACTAGGATCAAGGGCACTAGGATTAAGGGTGTGCATGCTACCCATTCTAAGTAGCCTGGATAAGATACAAGGGATAGAAAGAACTGGGGTCGACCCCTGTTGCTTTTTTTTTTTTTGGTACCAGGGATCAAATTTGGGACCTTGCACTTGCGAGGCAGGTGGTGGCACCACTGAGCTAAATCCCAGGCCCTATCCCTTGTTGCTTTGCTACCTTCTGCCCACCATGAACTGTTTCTCCTCTATGATGCCCCTCTGCCATGCCACCCTGCCTTGGAGCCAGCTGATTATGGGCTGAAACCTCTACAAACTGTGAGCTAAATAAACCTTTCCTTAACTCTGGGTGTTGGGTATTTTGTCTTAGCGACGAGAAAAGTAACTTAAGACAAGCACTTTCCTCATTTTCCTCATTGTTGGAAACTTGCTTTTTGTAACACTAACTTTTATATTCCCAAAGTAATCCATATTTTTCTTTGTAATTTCCCTTATTGCTTTTATTTAAAAAATTATGTATTTTTTAGTTTTTTATTTTTTCCGGTACCAGGGATCAAACTCAAGACCTTGCCCTGTGAGGCAGGTGCAGCACCATTAAGCTAAATCCTTGACGCCTAAAAGTTTATGTATTTTTAAAATATGTAGTCCATACATGATAAAAGATTAAAAGGTTGAAAAGGGCAGACAATGAATAAGTATCCTACTCCCCAAACCGCATTAACCTGTGCCTCTCCTCGGAGACATAATCACTACTAGTTCTCTCTGGTATCTTTCCAGAAGCCAACTATAGATATATAAGCATATACTCATGTGGTTTCATTTTCCCCCCAACACAAGTGGTATCACAGCCTACAAACTGTCCTGCACTTGGCTGCTTCTCTTATTTGGAAGCTCATTCCATATTGCAGAACTGCCTTCTTCTTTCAAATGATTGTAACAGACCTTACTGAATGGATACATAATTCACTTAGTCTGTTTCTCACTGATGTACAGTCAGTGTTCCATTTTCTATTACAACGATGCAGTATTGTATGTGCTGCACATAATTATTTCAGTAGACTTGCAGGATAAATTCCTGTAAGTGGAATCATTATGTTAAAGGTTCTATGTACTTGTAATTATCGAAGAATGCCAACTCTCTCTTACAAGATCTACCTTATAATCCCACTGTCATTGTATATCTGCTTCCCTAATGTATCAGTTTTTTGGATTTGTTTAATTTATTTATTTTTGATACCAGGATCGAACTCAGGACTTTGCACTTGCCAGGCAGGTGTGGTGCCACTGAGCTACATCCTCAGCAGTTTTTTCATTTTAATCTCAAAGCTTAAAAGCACTATTTCAGAGTACCTTTAATTTACCTTTCTGTTTTTACTACTGAGGCTGGTCAATTTTTTTTTTTTTGAGGCAGGGTCTTGCTATGTAGTTCAGGCTGGCATTAAACTCACTATGTAGCTCAGGGTGGCCTTGAAGGCATGGCGATCCTCCTGCCTCAACTCTCAAGTGTTGGGATTACTACAGGCATGTGCCACCACACCTGGCCCAATTCTGTTTGTTTAAGAGACACTTCTTTCTTTCCATGAACTCTTTCCTCTGGTCATTTTTCTATTGGTCATTGGCCTTCCTTCTTTATCTACAGGAGCTCTTCATATGTCAGTCATCTATGACATGAGTAGAATACTTTTTCATGGTATATCTCTCTTTAGACTTTGTTTACATTGCTTTTTATTTTTACTAGACAAACTTTCGTTCCACTTACACTCTCGCATATCAGTGAAAAAATAATTGAATGATACTTTATTAGCTGCTGGAATAAAGAGGTAGGAGAGAGGCAAGGGAAAAAAAAGCAATACAGTGTCATGAGGTAATTGCAGCGAGCCACAATAGTAGAATGGATTCACATTAATAGAAAAGGGAGGGCCGGGAATTTAGCTCAATGGTGCCACTCCTGTCTCATAAGCACAAGATCCTGAGTTTGAGCCCTGTTATTGGGAAAGGGGGAGAGAAAAGGGTATGCATGTATCAAAGAAAGCTTCTCAGCATTAGTGAAATCTGGACTAAGTCTTAAAAGAACAAAGAAGAGGTAGATGAGGTACACATGGCAGGCCCTGGAAACAGCATATATACATTTGGAAAACCACAAGGAGTCCTGTATGGTTTTTTTTTTGGTTCCAGGGATCGAACTCGGGACGCCAGGCGGTGGCACCACTGAGCCAATCCCCAGCTGTCCTGTATGATTTTTATTTATTTTTTTTGGTACTGGGATCGAACTCAGGACCTTGTGCTTGCAAGGCAGGTGCCAGAACCACAGAGCTAAATCCCTGGCCCTGTCCTGTACGATTTTTTTTTTTTTGGTACCGGGGATCGAACTCAGGTCCTTGCGCTTGTGCAGCAGGTGGCAAAACCACTGAGATAAATCCCCAGCCCCTCCTGTATGATTTTAACAGGTAGTTTTAAATCAAGTTAGGGAGACCTGATTTAACTCAATTTTCCAGACAGCATTCACTGTAGATATAACATAGATTCTTGTGTATAATTTAGTCACAATGCTTTAGTTTTGATAACTGCTGAACTGTGAAGGAGAACTGAGTTAAACAGCAATGAGGTCCTGGAGGAAAACAGTTTAACATTTCCTTAGCTTATTCCAGTTCTCTGCTTCCTATGCTATTAAATGCTTATATAAAAAAAAAAGTTTCTGTTCTTCATTTTCCAATGAAGTCTTAATTAGAAGAAAACAATCCAAAGAATTGTTATTTTTGTACAGACTATAATATGAGCCTTATATTTATAGACAGAACAACTTACTAGTTAAAAGGACACACTCTGGGTCCACAATCTGACCCCTTCTCACTGGTTCCATCACTCTGGTCTAAGCAATATCATATTTGGATTATTGAGACAGCCTCCTAATTACCTGTCTATATTCTGTTTCTACCATTTCTGCTTTAGAGTCTCTTTGCAACACAACAGCAAGTGTGGTCATTTTAAAATGTTAGTATGAAAAAAAAATGTTAGTATGATGCTACTGCCCTCTAAAGACTTCACATCCATTTCTGTTTTTTTCCTATATCATCAAATGTATTTTTTAAAATTTATGAGTACATGTGTGTAGTACATAATGTTGTATTCCTGTGGGAAGTTGGTACACATACATAACACATCTTAATTCCTTTTTTCATCCCCTTTACCTTTCCTTCTCCCCCCACTTGGTTTAATCTAAAGTCCTCACTTACCTATAAGTTCTTGTATGACTTGGTCCCCCATTAACTTCTCTGGACTCACTTCCTATTCCTTTTCCCCTTCTTCACTCTCTTCAGCCATGCTTGCTTCTTGCTGCTCCTCAGACATGCCAGGAATGCTCTTTTTTTTTTGGTACCAGGGACCGAACTCGGGTCCTTGTGGTTTTGGGGCAGGTGGTGGAACCACTGAGCTAAATCCCCAGCCCTTTTTTTGGATTTGAGACAAGGTCTTACTGTGTAGTTGAGGCTGGCCTCAAACATTCAGTGATCTGCCTGCTTCAGCCTCCTGAGTGCTGGGGCTATAGGTCTGCACCACCATGCCCGGAACCAGGCACACTCTTATCTCAGAGATTCTGCTCCTGCATATTCCTTGACAGGACACTATCTCTCAGATCAATATCTTACTCCTCTAGGTCCTCAAATGCCCAGGAAGCATTTCTTGACCTATGTGAAGTTCTGATCATTATCTCCCACCCAAGGTGCTGCCTGCCCTGTATTTTTCTCTATAGCACCCAATCACTACCTTATACTTTATTGTTCTCTTTAATACTGGTGTTCTTCCTGCTAGAATGTATGTTCCATGAGGGCAGAACGTTTTATATGACTGGACACTGCTCTATCCTTGGCACCTAGAACAATACTTAGCTGACAGAATTCTTTTTTTTTCAAATTAAGGTATACAATATAATTATATTCATCATTGGAAATTTTCACCTTTACATAATCTCTCTTGTTTCTTATTTTGTCCCATTCCCCTGCCCTCCCTTCAACCCCTCCAACCCTCCCTATCTACAAAGACTTTGTTTCCATTTTTTCATTTTCTCATATTAATTCCATTCCCTCTTTCCCTTCCCCCACCCCTCCCCTTTGCCCTTTTTCTTCCTATTTCACATTACCTATTATACTTTTTAGTCCTTATTTACACTTTCAGTTTCTCACACTAGAGAAACTATTCGGTATTTAAACATGTGTGTCCTGTTTATTTCACTTAAGAGTATTGCCTCAATGTGCATCCATTTAGCTATAAATGTCTCTAGAATTCTTATATATTGTACTATGCATATTTTGTAAATTCAAAGGAAGGACTGAATGAACAGTGACACCTGTGTTAACATAGAGATAATACAGGTTTTATCTCGAATGCCAACTGCAAATGAATGGCAGCAGATGAATGGAGCGATGTATAGAGGATTCTGAAGCTACATTAGCTTAGAAGGGAAATATAATATGAATAATTATCAATGTAGCATTTAGGTATTCTACACTCAAGCATTATCTGAATCTATTGTAAAATGACATAGCTAAAAAATATGAGATAAACTAGTTCTCAGTACACAAAAGCTTCATTATGTTTTGCGAAGTTCTTCACACAGATTTTATTAGCAAAGATAGGTTAAGTAAAACTAATAAAAAGCTATAGTTATTAAATGTAATTACGGGATAAAATAGAAAATACTTCAGACTGTGAGAGGATTTCACCTATGGGAACAACTTAAAACATCCTTCTGATATGTTCTACAGTAACATATACTCTTCTTTCTCTCTCTCTCTTTTTCTTTGCAGTACTAGGGGTTGAACCTATAGGCTTACACAATCTAGCTATATCCCAAACCCTTTTTGAAATTGTATTTTGAGTCAGAGTTTCTCTAAGTTGCCTAAGCTGGACCTGAACTTGTGATTTTCCTGCCTCAGCTTCCCAAGTAGCTGAGACTACAGGCACATGCCACCGTATCTTGCTTTTTCACTCTATAAATTTGCGTATATCATTAAAAAAAAGATCAATACCTACTAATCAAATAATTCTTTCACCATTGCACAATACATTAGTTTTTAGGATTAAGTATGAATACAAGGCACTTACATTCTGTTTCATGCTTATAGGCCCCTAAGGTTAGCTGACGAGATGTTGTTAATAATTGTTGCATCATTGCTGTTGGGTCTTGAAATATCTTCAGGGATAGAATGAGAAAAAAATGTTCAATAACTTCAAAGTTTTCTAATTTAAAATGCTTTTAAAACTCTCATTGTAAAATCTTACCATTTCATCATAGAACTCTGAAACAACTGTCTTTTTCCCCAACATTGCATTGGTGTCTGATTGGAAGAGCTTTAACAAATGATACAGGGTTACCTGTGAGACAAAAACAGATGTCATATCTATTACAATGTTTTTCATCATCATCATAAAAAACTGTCATTTCTTTAACTGAAGTAGAGACTGGAATTAGTAAAAATATCAAATTCAGATCTCCTTTCAACTGAAATTTATTGTGGCAAATCACCAAACTCTGTACTTCTATTTTTTTTCTAAGGTAGCACCATCCATATGCATCTGCTTTATGTGAATGTTTTCAAGAAAGTAAGTAAGGACCTATTCAAGCATCTCTAAATAGGTTGGGAATAGCTCAGTGGTGAAGTGGTGAAGCATTTGCCTGGTAGGTGCAAGTCCCTTGGTTCAATCCCTAGAAACACACACAGACACACACACACACAATCAAGCATCTCTAGAGAGTAAGTATATACAAAAATAACACAAGATACAGCTATGGAAATTAAACTTTAAAATCAGCAAGACATGAATTATTTAAATAAGTGAAAATGGACTGTTAATAATTGTCTGTGAAGATCAGAACTTACAAAATTACTATGGGGAAAAATATCTGATACTTTCAAAAGGAGTAACCAGTATTAAAATGTTTGGCAAGAGCAAGCCACTCTCCCTGGTGACACATAAGATTATTACATAAATGACATAAATAAACACAAAGTTGGTCAGTAAGAACTCACTTTGACAAAAGCACTGTGTCTACAAATACTTAAAAATAGGTGTTGTAAGACATCAAAGGAAAGGCTTTGCAGCATAATGTGTGATTATTGTAGCAAAATAAAACATAGCTGGCAAACATAAGAGCTCATGTTGAAGTTGTACAGAACAATTCAAAGGCCTCAAAAAGTTTTCCAACAGATTAGCTAGTATCATTACAAGGACATACTGCCCTTCAAAATAATCATGAAACAGGGAAGAAGAGTACTCTGAGGAGGTCAGAAAATACACAAATTCTTGCAATTGAATTTGAACAAGCATCATCAACTCCCCTTAAAGATAAATCTAGCTCAACTTACAGAAATGTCAGACTTCTCTGGATGAGTGGTCAGTGGAAGTATCCAACTTAAAGAATATCTTCTAGGTTCAAGATGGCACATTAATATGGAAGGGGCTGGGGGTACAGCTTAGTGGTGGAGCATTTGCCTAGCATATACAAGGCCTTGAATTTAAACCCCAACACTGAGGGAAAAAAGAGAATATGGAAAAAGGAGAAGGGAAATGCACAGAATTCCATCAATAAACAGTACAATGCAGCCTGCTTTGCAAGCGCAAGGTTTTGAGTTCTATGCTGGGTACCGAAAAAAAACAAAAACAAAAACCAAAAACCCAGTACAATCTGTTCTACTTCTCTTTTTGTTTGTTTGTTTTGTTTTTTGTGGGTTTTTTTGGTACCGGGGATCAAACTCGGGTCCTTGAGCTCGACAAAACCACTGAGCTAAATCCCCAGCCCAACCCAGTACAATCTGAAAACTAGACAGCATGAAGTATATGCCATATTTTAAAACATATAATTTGATAAATTTTTGGAATAGACAGAAAGATGCTACAGTAGGACAATAAATCATAATACAGAAAAACTACAACTTGAAAACTTAAGGAAGAAAACTCTATCAGAGGTGGGAACCAGAGCTCTTAGGAGCCCTAGAGAGGTTCCAAGTTGAGCTGGTAGATAGTGAAATCGAGAAGCTATAAACAGCTAGGCTTGGTGAACCTCCCTCCTTCTCTCTTCTCATGGACAACAAAGCACATCCCCCCTTGATATCAGAATTATTCATCCCAGCAATCAAGTATGAAGAAGAAATGAAGACATTTTCAGATGGGCAATGACTCTAAAAGTTTATTTTTCAAGCATCCTTTGTGAAAAAATTGCTCCAGCAAAATGAAGAAAACAAACTTGCAAATACAGGGAAAAATGGATCATCTAGCATTATTAGGACTTGAAAGATATTACGTAAAGTTGAAAAATGTGAAATTAGAGGTTCAAATATATGAGACACACAAGGGTAATTTCTAGAGGAACACAGTCTAAACCTTGATTTCAGACTTCTAGGCTCCAGAACTGTGAGAGTGAGTAACTTATTGTTTTAAGGCACCCAGGCTGTGGTACTAGGAAACTAATACACAAACACTTTTACTTTTTCTCGTGAAACAATGTGTATTTTTGACTTTATAATAAAAAAATTTTAAAACTACATCATAAACTGTCCTCTAAATATACTACTCAGACTTCCAGAAGCATTCATGCAGATATAGGCAATAAAATAATTAAGACAGATGTTTTTAATTTTGAACACTGTATGACAATTCTTGGAGCAAAGAAAACTGCCTGTAATTACCTAGAAATTCCTCTTTCCAAGAACAAAAACCAGATCTTAGCATTCTGCTTTTAAAAACAAGCATTCTCTGTTTCTGAACAGGTTAGAAACAGGTCACTGGTGAACAGAAGTAAATGATAAATTACTCGTCTTTCTTTTGTATTTTGATAAACCTTTATATGACCTATTTTCAGTAAGAGCTAACTGTTGAAAAAGTACAATGGTTTCACTACACTAAAAGAACACTCCAACACTTTTTAGGGAATGAAATTTAGGCCTACATATGCAATAGATTAATCACTATGGAGATGTAATAGGGCATATTAGTTTACCTTTCTAAGAGAAGCTCTCTCATAAAGAAGTTACAAGATATAATAATTTCTTTCAGAGACACATTTTCCAATTGCTGGGGGGAGGACAAAAGATTAGGAGCACAGCCTCTTTATTACTAACAATGAAATGATGAGAGAGAAGACAGCACATTTTAAAAATGAAAATGCAAACAGAGGGTCTGAGGATGTAGATTAGTTGACAGAGTGTTTGCTTAGCATGCATGAGGCCCTGATTTCAATCCCCAGCACTGCCAAAAAAGAAAAAAGAGGGGCCTGGGATTTAGCTGAGTGGTTTCGCCACCTGCTACGCAAGTGCAGGGACCCAAATTCGATCCCCGGTACCAAAAACAAACAAACAAAAAAACAAAAAAGAAGAAAAGAGAGCAGTCTTACAAAGTTAAAAGCAACAAGTGTTTTAGGAGCATCATGGGCTTCTTTTCTTCTTAATATCTGCTGAATTCTGTGCTCTTGTCTTCCTAATAAACTATTTACACCAGTGTCTCATCTTTGTATCCTTCATAATCCTTTAAACAGTATCTTGTAAATACATGGTGGATCTGGAAACCCTACACATGAAAAATACTTAAGTGAGCATTCCGCGCTCCTAGGGCAGAGAAGGTGAGCCGCCCAGTGCCAGAAGTACCCCTCCCCGCCGTGGAGATGAGAAGACAAGTAAACAAGCCTCAAAAACAGACTTCCAGATCATCTACAGCAATCCCAAAGGGAAACGAGATGGAACAATCTGATACTCAACC